TACGTGGGGATATCTCACTGCTGCTCAGTTTAGGAGCCTTGAGGACGATATGGTGCGCTATTATCGGGCTATCGCCAAGCAGCCTCGCAGGGACCCCTCGGCGCTCAACAATCTGGCTATCTTGGGTGAGGTCCTCAAGCCCCCGCTGGGAGCCCTATTAAGCGCTCAACGTCTTCGGCTTTACGGGCGGCTTCTTATCCATGGCCCCCCACATCTTCTGGCTCTGGTTACGACGTGCAGGACGGAATATCGTAGGTCTTGGGGACACCAAATTGTTGAGGATTTGCAGTGGGTCTGGACGTTTCATGCTCAATGTCACCTCCTCCCCAACCCCTCCGAGGACCTTCGCATTTGGGACATGCTAATTCGTCGGTCAGCCCCAGCATGGAAGACATGTTCGCTGGCTTGCTTTAACGCGTACTACTGAGCACGCTATCTTTGAAGTTCTGGGATATGCTGGAGTGCCGCATACAATTACGGATCCTGAGCATCCGCTCCGTCGAGCAGAGGCTGAAGAGCAGCAAGTTTGGAAGTGTCTCTGGTGTGACGCCACCTTTGATCGTGCTCGCAAGCTTCGTTCGCATGTTTTTCGGAATCATCATTCTCGTGTTTCGCTCATTCGTCGTTTCCTCGGCCCGAGTCTGGAATGTGCTACGTGTGGCACTGCGTTTGCTCATCGCTCGGCTTTTGTGTCGCATACGTCGTTTGACTCTCCCAAGTGTGCGCTGGGCCTTTTATGGTCGGGCCGACAATGCTCTCAAAATCATGCCGACGCTCTGAAAGAGTCAGAGACTCGTCGCATTGCGAAGCAGCTCCGGTCAGGTCAAGGCAGATGGCGAGTGGAAATTCCTGCGTCAAGGCATGTGGCGGTTCGTTCGGAGGAACTGGCTAGCTTGCTGCGTTCGATTTCTGACGATCAAGCCAGAGAAATCATGTGTGAGTCGGAATACTGTATCGAGACGTCCTCGGTGTCGGACTTCCTCGACATATTCAAGTCCCGTGTTCCTGTTGTTCCCTCTCCTATGGTGGACCCCCTTTCTACCCCTGTCGAGTCGGTGACTACTCTGGTGTCGCTTCGGAGAGTATACCTATTCGCATCCGCCGGCCAACTGTCTTTGCCTTGCATGTGTTTAGTGGTCAAAGGAGGCATGGAGATTTGCAGTGGCAGCTCGATAATCAGATTGTGCTTCCCAGCGTGGAGGTGCTTATGCTGAGTATTGACATCGCCATCGATCCGATTAGGGGCGACCTTACGAGGCAAGGGCCTATCCAGGAGTGGGCCGAACATATACGTGCACATAGAGTCATCAGCACAGGAGGGGGACCCCCCTGCGAGACTTGGTCTGCTGCCAGATGGCACGAGGGGGCCCCCCCTCCTCTCAGGTCTACTGACTACGTTTGGGGAGTTCCGTGGTGTACGGCTCGACAATCGGAACAGCTGAGAGTAGGTAGCATGCTTTTACACGCTATAGAACGTCTCATGGCGGAAAACCTCCGCGCGGGGACGGGGGCCTTAATTGAACACCCTGCTCCTGCTTTGTGGGCCCCTAGGGCCCCGATTTCTTTTCGGTGGCCCCCCCTCGTGGCCGTCGCCTCGGCCCCGTGTGCGGCCACGTGTGTGTTTGATCAGTGCGAGCACCAGGCCCCCGATTCTGACCCCGCTTCCATTGGGAGAGCCCCCACGTGTATAGTTAGCATTCGAATGCCCACATTGTACAATGAGCTTCGCAACACACCTGGCCGGGTGACATGTTCTCACGGTCCTGGAGCCCACCGTTCTCTCCTTGGGAAAGATGGCCAGGGCCGTTTTTTTTCCGCTGCGTCCAAGAAGATAGATCCTCCAGGGATGTGTCTCGCGATCGCCAAAGGCATCAGTGCCAGCGTGCTGCAGGTATGTGCTGAGTCGACCAGCCAGGCTGACAACAGGCTCTCGGAGAATGCAGACCTCGCCGAGGGTGAGATTCGGGATTCGTATGTCTCGTGGGAGGGTCCCTCCTCCTCCGCCCCCCCAGACCCAAGTCGCCAGCCTGACTTTGCTGGGGCCGCGGGTCGACGTCGTAGGCGACATCACGTGGGCCCAGAACCGGACAGGTTCAAGGAGTCCGAGTCGGAGGCTGAGGCGGAGGAGGAGGATCCCCGTTACAGTGGCCCTCCTGCGAACCCCCATTTGGGGGGACACATCGTTGGATGCTGAAGCCTCAGAGGAGCAGGCTTTCACTGAACGTGCCGAGGAGGATCCTGCCGCTTGGGCGTTCGGTTCCTCTCCTGCCCCTGCGTCGTCTTCGCCCCCCCCCCCCCCCTCCCCCCCCCTCCCCCTCCCCCTCCCCCCCCTCCCCCCTCCCCCCCTCCGTCGCCTCTCCCCCTCGCCGGCGCCCAGCTCGCGCGCATCGCCGCGCATCGCGAGGAGGCCGGGCGGCGCCGCGCGGCCCGCAGCGCCGCTGCGGCGGCGGCCCGCGCAGTGCCAGTGTCGGCCTCCGGACTGTTCGGGGAGCCTGCTGCTGCGCTCCCTCCAAAGGCCCCCATTCCCCGATGCTGTGCAGTTGGCCTGGCTGTGCTGTGTGCATCTCTCGTCACGCTCGCTGTATACAGTGTTTGTGTGTGTGTTGAGGCCCATGTCAGTAGGACGGCGCACCGCCGTTCCCATCGTTCGACGACGAGGGCCTCCTCCCCTGGTTCCTCCTCTTCTCCCCTGACTTCACCAACCTCTCCGTCCCTCATTCCTCGGGCCCCGATCCTGGCCCATCCACCACCTTCCGTCCCTGCGGACTCGGACTACTGGACGATCACGCGGCGCTCTTAGTGTTCATGGGCGCTCTCGTGCCTCTTTTGGTATCTCTGCTGGGCTGTCTGGGGAGCTCCTGGGTCCGTTTTGGGGACGTCTTGGGACGGTCTCGGGGGACAGCTGGGACTCTCTTTAAAGAAATAGCGGAACATCCTAAATAAATGCCATCGGCATCCTTGAAAATTGGGAGAACATCCTCAGGAGGGCCTCCGTCGTCGACTTGGAGAGAAAGGCGGGGGAGGAGGACAATTCGGAAGATGCAACACGTGCTTGAAGAAAACAAGGAAAGGTGGTAGTTCCCTATTGCTTCTCAAGTGTAGCCCAAGATAACGAGCTCCAGAACACGCAGTGAAAAAACTATACTAAGCCTTTGTGCAATTAGTTTGGGCATTCTTGGGCGCATTTAAGGGGTCTCCTAAGAACTCTTCAAGCCCCTCAGGCACTTTTTGGTCCGTCTCAAGGCCCTCCTGCCCCGCCTGATGCCTTGGGTCAGGGGCCAAAAATATGGGGGATTGGCAAATGGGGGGTGGACATCGAACGAGAATCGGCGATACATCGCCGATAGATCGGCGATAGGCCCCCGATAGCGAATCTGCACGGTCCTGGGCAGGTCGGGGCCATCGGGCCCCTAACATGGATCATTCCCTGGAAGAGCAAAAACCCAACAGCACCCAGCCCGCCCAACAATAGAGGGAAAATGATTTCCGCCGCGACGACGACGACGACGACGACGACGACGAAGACAACGACGAGGATGAGGAGGAGGAGGAGGAGGAGGGCGAGTTCATTCCCCGCCGAAAGGAACAGGAGGGGGTGCAAAACTAGAGACCTCCTGAGGTTATCGGCGATGGATGGGCGATTGGGGGTCGATGCATTCCCCCCCCTTGTGCCCATCCCCCCCCCATCGCTGCCCCTGAGGGGTTGGGCCCAGCCAGCCTCGGAGCACGCGCGCAGCTCTCGGCGCCCGAGCGCGGCAGGGGGGGGCCCAGGGAAGCTCTGGGCGCGCGCCCCGCCTCCGCGCCAGGTCGACGTAGATATCGAAGGCGCAGCGCGTGTCCAGAGGGTTCTGGCCCGCCCAGGTCCGGTCGCAGGAGTAGTCGATGCCGACGGGCGGAGGGGGAGAAGGAGGAAGAGCAGGGGGAGGAGCAGGAGGAGGAGGAGGAGGAGGAGGAGGAGGAGGAGGAGGAGGAGGAGGAGGAGGAGCAGGGGGAGGAGCAGGAGGAGGAGGAGGAGGAGGAGGAGGAGGAGGAGGAGGAGGAGGAGGAGGGAGGGAGGAAGAGGAGGAGGGGGAGGAGGACGAGGAGGAGGAGGATGAGGAGGAGGAGGAGGGAGGAGGAGGAGGAGGAGGGAGAGGAGAGGAGGAGAGGAGGAGGAGGAGGAGGAGGAGGAGGAGGAGGAGGAGGGGGAGGAGTGTGTGGCGGACGGTCGCAGTGACCAGTGACGTGAACAATGGCCTGACACACATGGATCAGGACACATGCCAATCACAAGAGTGGCGCGGGACAATATGTGAACTCTCCGCACGAAAAGGAGCGCCGGGGCAAAGCACGCAACGAAAGAGTCACGAAATTCGGCTCCTAAATGCGTGCGGCGGCATCCTCCTGCAGGAGGGGCGCCGAGAGAGGCGCCGCGGGGGGAGGGGCGGAGGCGGGCCTCCGGCGGACGTCAGTGGCGTCGACGTCGCGGCGGCGAGCGGCGGGCGCGGCGCTCGCTCCACGTGCTTCCCGCTCGCACGCTCTGGCCCTCCTCGCTTCCCTCTCCTTCCCCCACACAAGCGAGCCTGGCATCAAGCCTTTGGAAATCCGAAACAAATGAGGAGGAGGAGGAGGGGGAGGAGGAGGAGGAGGAGGAGGAGGAGGAGGAGGAGGAGGAGGAGGAGGAGGAGGGGGAGGAGATGGAGGAGGAGGAGGAGGAGGAGGAGGAGGAGGAGGAGGAGGAGGAGGAGGAGGGAGGCTGCTGAGGCTGCTAATTACGCGACGAACTCCGAGGCCGCCCTGGCGCGCGGTCTGAGCCCCTCGGCGACCCGAGAGACGGAGCAGAGCCGAAGCCCAGCGGGAAAGAGAGGAATCGAGCGCGGCGACGAGGAGGCCAAAAACCCCAGGAGGACCCGACGGCTCACAAAAAACCCGCCGTGGCGACGATGCCATGCCCCGACGGGCAAGCATGCATCCGACTCTCACCGCGCTCCCAATCCAGACCGAACTCCCGATGAAGTCGATCACGCACTGGAAGCCACAGGCCCGATTGCCTTCGTCGCCTTCTTCTGGAAGGTCTTGTGCACCACAACATTCTTGACGATGACGACTTTGCCGAGACTGTTCCCAGCCATGGTCGCCTTCTGCTGGCAGGTGTTGAACATCACTACGCCATTCAAGATCATCGCGATGACGGCCTGGCAGAACCTATTCCCGGCCTTGGTCGCCTTCTTCTGGCACCATTGCCCCTGTGCGCCCGCCGTCCCGAACCGCGCGCACGGAAGCCCAGCGATAAGGGCCGGGACGGCTAAGAGGAGGAGGGAGGACAAGGAGGTGGAGGAAGGCGAGGAGGAGGGAAGGAAAGGGAGGAGGAGGAGGACGAGGAAGGAGGAGGGAGGAGGAGGGTTGGAGGCGGGAAGCGGGAAGCGGGAGGAGGGAGGCGGGAGGAGGAAGTAGGGAGAAGGGATGGAGGGAGGGAGGGAGGGGGGGAGGACAAGCTAGGTGCGCTCGCGTCATATCTGACGTCCTACCCCTCCCTCCCATCCCTTATCATGGCGTAGATCTCCTCTCTATTCGCACAGTCGGATGACGCAGCAGGGCATAGCATTACATGGCATAGCATGGTGCTGAAGATCAACGCGTAGCCTGACGCCCCAAAGTGGGGGGGGGCTCCTGCGGCCCCAAAAACCAACGAATTGGCACCGAATGTGTAATCACTTCCGATGGTTGCTTCATTTTCTAGTTTCGGGGTCCTACTTAGAAGGACCGAAAACCATGCCGTGGCATGGCGCTGGAAATAATGACGCCAGCGCTGCAGCGGGAGCACGATTCGGAACGAGAGGAAGCCCGGAAATAAGGCCAGCGCTGCAGCGGGAGCACAATTCGGGATGAGCGGAAGCGCGGAAACGAAGCCACCGCTGCAGCGGGAGCACGATTCGGAACGAGCGGAAGCCCGAAAGTGAGGCCAGCGCCTCAGCGAGAGCGGCATTTTGAATTTGGGGGAGGAAACAACAACAACAACAACAACAACAACAACAACAACAACAACAACAACAACAACAACTACAACAACAACAACAACAACAACAACAACAACAACAACAACAACAACAACAACAACAACAACAACAACAACAACAACAACAACGACAACGACAACGACAACGACAACGACAACGACAACGACAACGACAACGACAACAACGACAACAGCAACAGCAACAGCAACAGCAACAACAACAACAACGGAAACCAAACTCGCCGACATCCTGTGTGGATCAAAACCATACGCGAGGGGGGGCCGAACACTCCGAGACAGATTCCGCCACAGACTCAGGGGAGAGAGGAGAGTAGTATTCATATTGAGTAATTGTGAAGTAGGAGGGCAGGGGGAGGATTGCAATGAGGACGGATGGGAGAAGGACAAGGAGGACGCAGAGACGGGGTCAGCAGGACGGGGCCCCTGGACCCCAAACCTCTCTCTCTCTCTCTCTACCTCTTCCTCGACAACCTCTAGAGGCAAGCTTCCCATCCGGGCTCGTTTCTGCAACGGCCCCTGAGGCCCGTAAGCGGCACGGAAGCAAAACAAAACCACAGCAACAACAACAACAGCAGCAGCAACACGAGCAACAACAGCAACAACAACAACTACAACAACAACAATCAACAACAACAACCACAACAACAACAACAACAACAACAACAGTAACACCAGTAGCAACAGTAACAACAACAACAACAACAACAACAACAACAACAACAACATCAACAACAACAACAACAACAACAACAACAACAACAACAACAACAACAACTGCAACAACACGAGCATCCCCAACAACGGCAACAACAGCAGCAATAACAACAGCCAGAACAGCAGCAACAACAACAACAATATCAGCAGCAACAGTAGCAGCAACAACAACAATCAGTTTAAGACTGTTCGCTCCTACTTGATCAAGTGCCAATCACTGCGTATATCCCAAACCCTCGGTACCCGCTCTCGTCGTCTTCGATCGTACCCCCATTGGGGGCATTTCTTCCTTACCTACCACGTGTTTAGTGCAGCCCCTAAAACAAGGGAAGAGAGGACGGGTGGAAGGGGTAAGGAGAAGAATGGAGCACGAGAGAAAGTAGCAGGAGGGGGGCAAGGAGCAGAAAACAAGTGGTAGAACCAGACGGGCAGATCGGGTGGGTAGACCCATAGCGGGCAGGTCGGGAAGGCGGGCCCAGGCGACGAGGTCGAGCAGGCGGGTTGCTAAAGCGTGGGTCCTGCATGAATCGCGAGGAAGAAGTCTCGAGCGATAGCGCGATTCCCAAGTGAATCGTGAGAAAAGCCACCGTGGGCCACGAAGGGCATAAAATCCGAGGCCACAGAGGGCAGCGACGGGGCCGCTGAGGGCAGCACCAGGGCCACAAAGGGCAGCGAGGGGGCCACAAAGGGCGACGGCGGGGCAACGAAGGGCATGCACATGGGGCCACGAAGGGCAGCGAGGGGACCACGAAGGGCGACAGCGGGGCTACGAAGGGCATGCGTATGGGGCCACGACGGGCGCGTGCGAGCGGGGGCCACGAAGGGCATATAATGCGGGGCCACAAAGGGGAGCGACGGGGCCACTGAGGGCAACAACGGGGCCACGACGGGCAGCGAGCGAAGGAGACCGCGGAACCAGTGCGGGCAGCGAGGGGCATCGAAGGCGGGCGAAGGGCAGCGAGCGGCGACTGCAGTCATTAACGGGCTGGTCGGGCGGGCAGGCCCCGACGGGCGGGTCGAGCGGGCGACTCGTTGAAGCGTGAGTCCTGCTTGAACCGCCAGGCAGTATGTAGCGGGAGCGCGATTCATGAGTGTCGAGGACCGGCATCTGAATAAATCGTGAGGAAATATGAAGCGAAGCGGTTTGGTGGTAAGTTGCGAGGAAGTCCCAAGCGAGAACGCGATTCTACAATAAATTGTCAGGAGGTATCAAGCGGGAGCCGCGATCCGGTGGCAAATTGCAAGAAGTCCCAAGCGAAAGCGCGATTCTTCAACAAATTGTGCGGAAGTATCAGGCGGGAGCCGTTCTTGTTGTAAACTGGGGGCCAACGACACAGCTTGACCATCAAGACTTTCTTTGATAAAAAAGGCGAGCCCCAGGAGGGGCACTTCAATCGAAAAAACAATGTGAACCCGGCGGGGGGGATAAACAATAATTATTCGTCCGAAATGAGAGCTTCACAACAACAACAACAACAACAACAACAACAACAACAGCAGCAGCAGCAGCAGCAGCAGCAAGACCAGCAACAGCAACAATGACAACAACAACTACGACTACGACTACGGCTACGACTACGACTACGACTACGACTACGACTACTACTATACGACTACTTACGACTACTACGACTACTACTACTACTACTACTACTACTACTACTACCTACTAGTCCTAAATTACTAACTTACTACTACTTACTACTACTACTACTACTACTATTACTACTATACTACTACTATACTACTAATACTATACTATCTACTTGCTACAACACTAGACGACTACTGCGACTACTCCTCCTAAAAATCACTAATACTACGACTACTATTATACTTACTACTTACTACTACTACTCACTACTACGACTACTTACTACTACTCTACTACTACTACCACTACTACTACTACTAATACTTTACTACTATATATAATAATATACTACTAGTATTACTACTACTAATACTACTACTACTATACTACTATATCATTACTTACTACTTACTACTTACTACTACTACTACTACTACTAACTACTGACTTACATTACTACTACTACTACTAATACTACTTACTTTACTTACTACTACTACTACTACTACTACTACGATACTAATAATACTCATTACTACTAATACTTCTACTACTACTAATACTACTATTACTATACGACTACTAATTCTACGACGACGACGACGACTAACTACTTACTACTTACTTACTACTACTACTACTATACTAAGACTACTGCCTACGACTCCTTACTACTTACTACTACTAATGCTACTTACTTACTACTACTACTACTACTTACTACTGCTCTACTACTACTACTACTACTAGTAGTTAGTAGTACTACTATTACTACTACGACTACTACTACTACTACTACTACTACTACTACTACTACTACTACTACTACTACTACTACTACTACGACCACTACTACGACCATGTAACGCCCCTCACGGGGGTAGAAACCACTTGGACCAAGTGTATTTGCTGGGGCGTCACGCTGTCACCCTGCTTATCCTTTCCTCATCATGCTCGTCCTCCTCCTCATCCTTCTCCTCGTCCTCCTCCTCCTCCTTCTCCTTGTCCTCCTCCTCCTCCTCCACGTCCTCCTCCTCCTCCGCCTCCCCCTCCCTACCTCGGGCGTGATGGACCGTGGGACCTCATGGAGCCTCCTGGTAAGCCCGGGGGCCTCCTGGGATAGCAACCTCTGGGGACTTCCTGCGGCCTCTTGAAACCTCCTGGGCTCTCCTAGGGTATCCTCAGCCCTCCAGGGGCGTCCGCAGCGTTCTGGAACTTTTGGGTCGTTCAGGATACGCGTGGAGCGTGATGGGACCTCCTGGGGCCTTGTGGGACCTCGCGGGGCATCCTGGGACCTCCTGGAGCGTCCTGGAGCCTCCTTAAGATTCCCACGGCCTCCGGGGACGTCCTGAAGCCTCCTGGAGCTTCCTGATGCCTCCTGAGACCTCCTGGGGCCTCTTGGCGGCTCTCTAAGAAGCCACGCGCGGGGCCTCAAAATTGGCAACAGTTTCAAGGATGGGAGCCTTCCCATTGAGAAAGAGGGCGCGGTGGACGTTGAAAAATGACGACAGTTACACACTTGAGGCCCAAAACCGTGCCGGGCGCCCCCCCCGCCATTCCCGGTCCTGCATAGTACGGTGCGATTTGCCCCCTCCCCGCTGTCCCGCCGGTCCCCGGGAGGGCTAGTTTTCTGGTTTTCGCTGGTAAGAAACACTTCCCCCCCCCTCTCGGCGGTGACGGAGGGCAGGCGGCGGGGGAGAGCGGGTTGGCAGGGTGGCTGGTTGGGCACGGAGAGCAGGCGGAGGGGATCGGCTGGTTGGCGGGATGACGGGGTGGGCGGCTGGGCTGGTTGGCTGACGGGTTGGCTAGGTGGCGGGGTGGCTGGGTGGGCTGGCTGGCTGGTTGGACGGGTTGGCAGGTTGAGCTGGCTAGGGCATTTGGTTTCGACTACTACTACGACT